TTCCCAAGGGTCCTCGTCCGGGGATGGCGAGAGACACCGCACCCCGCTGTCCCAGGGAGGTGGCGCCGGGCTAGTAGGTAAAGGTATGGACACCCAAAAATAAAATTATTATTATTATTATTATTATTATTATTATTATTATTATTATTATGCCTCCGAGACAGCGAGGCACTCACCCTGCTCGGAAATCGGAGCAAACTCTCATTCACGCTCCCCGCCGTGCCCAGGCCGCCGGAGCCAGGCGACGCCCCGAGAGCCGCCGCTCTGTTGAGCGGGGCCGGGCGCGGCCGGGGCCGGGCGCGCCCGCTCAGCCCGGACAAAGCGAGCGCGGCGCTGCTGCGGGCGAGGCGGCAGCAGGTGCCCGTCCGCCGCCGCGGCCGTGCCGAGCGCCCCGCGCAGCCGCCGCCGCCGCCGCCGCAGCGCCCGAGCCGCTCGCCGGGGCCGCGCTGCGCGCCCGCCCCGCCCCCGGCGGCCCCGCGGCGGGAGCCCGCAGAGGCGGGGGCGGGCGGAGCCGGCGGGCGGGCTATGGGCGGTGCGGCACGGCCCGGGCCGCAGCGGCGGCGCACAGCGAGGCGCCCCGCCGGTCGCAACCCGGTCGGGACCGGAGGCGGGTCCCGGTCTCGCGGCCCACCCGGCGCGGCGGCTGCCGGATCTGCGCGGAGCGGCAGCGAGCAGCCCCCCGGCCCCGCCGCCCGCACCTGCCCCGCGCCACGCCGGCGCCTGGAGCTCGCCTGCGGAGGAGTCCAGACGCCCAGCAGGCAAGACCCTCCCCTGCGCTGGCTGCCTGCGGTGCGGCAGCGGTGGGCACCGCACGCCGCAGTGTCCGCAGCGGGGCTGCGCTGCCCGGCCGTGAGGGCTGCAGCACCGCCGTGCCGCGATGCGGTGTGCGGCCAGCGCTGCCCTGCCCTGCCCTGCCCTGCCTTGTGCTCGACCCTGAGCCCTGCAGAGTCGGGGCTTTGTCGTTCCCCGGGCTTGGCGAATGCACCGGCACGGTGTCAGCCTTGCCAGTGCTTTGCTGCCATGGTGGGAGTCGTATCGCCGGAGCTCAGTGCGCTCCGGTTAACCGGGGCTGAAGGCGAAGCCCGGGCCGGGCACGGCCGTGGCGGGGCTGGGGCCGCAGCCGGCACTGACTGACTGCAGTGGGGCAGCTGTGCCCACGGGCCGGGCTGGCCCTCGGCAGCCTCACCGCACACATGCCGGGGAGCCTGGGCCCCCGGGGAAGGAAGGGATTATCCTGTGTACAGACCCCCATTGTGTCAACACTCTGTGAGGTTGTTAATTATTTAGTGAGCGTATAGGGCTGTAAACCATTGCTCATGCACTGTTTGTTGTGTTTTGTGTTGCTTGTGGTTAACCCTGATCTTTTTTCCGTAGCTTAAAAAATGCAGGGAGTATACGCCATAGGAAACCCTTTTTTTTCTCATTCCTCTCACCTCCAGTCTCACGGGTTTGGTGATGCAGGGGCTGCCCAACCGAGTGGCTGCTGTGCAGCCTAAGCAATATTATATTATACAATTTTGTAATGATTTGTCTACCTCAGAATGTGCCTCTAGCGCAGTGGCGATGAGCCGGAGTTTGCTGCGCGGCGTCCTCCAGAGAGCCCTGGAGAGGGTGGCCCTGTCTCCAGTGCTGGTCTCCGGCAGATTTGTCCCTTTGCAGGGTGGTGATCGATGGCACGTTCTGTGCTCACCAGCGTCCTTGTATTTCACGTCATCTCGTGCCCTTTGCATGCGGGCTGTGTAACTCTTTCATTTTTTGATATCAAGAATTTATGAATCAAAAGGTGGGGGAGTGTGGAGGCTGAGTCAGATCGTGAAAAAGGAAAGCCAAATGAGAGCGTGCAATTGCATATCACATTTACAAACATGGTTTCATTCATCTCCATATGTTGCTCCTGTTACTACTAATAAAGCTCTGGTTTCTCAGACTGGAGCTACCCTGGGAACACTGATCTTCCTGGCGTTTTTTCTCTATAGCCTCCATAGTATTTGTGTTACAGTATGTTATTTTCCTGATTATGTTTTCATTATATTGAACAGGTTAATATCAGAAAGAACTTGATAATATGAATGTACTTCCCACACACTCCCTCTTGTTCCTATTATTTGATGTTGAGAGGAGTGACAGTTTATTTACAGGCAGCAATTTCTTTCCCTCTCTACTGGGTAAATTAACTAATTATAATAACAAAAAAAAAGAAAGCTTTTTTTTTTCCTGGGTGCTTACCCCTGTTTCCTTCCTCTTTCTTTCCTCATTTTACTAATGGTAGCCAAATCCAGCATGGTGATTTTGGAGCTGCAGGAAATTTACCTTTATCTACCAAAAGATTTCTACAGAAGCCTCTATAGGCAAAGGGAGCCAGAGACAAAGGTCTGCTTTAAGCAGAATGGTGTCTGGGGTTTACATCCCCAGCAGGGAGGTACAACTGTAGAGTGTTCAGTAATTAATTTAATCCAGCATTGAGAGAGAAGGAAGAATGATTGTATTGGGAAAGAGGTTTTTGTCAAGTATCAGATGTAAGATTTAAGCAGCAATTTCAATGACCTTTGTGATTTCTGTTTCAGACAAAAGGCAGCAACCTAGTACAAGGGTATCATTACCTTCTCCCAGCATTGTCCTTTGTTCTCCTTGGGTTTAGCCTGTCACTTCCTAGGGTTTGCCTCTGTCCCTTGTTGGGACGGCAGCACCTCTCACCCGTGACTCTCAGAAGTGCTGTGCTAGCAGGTGATTTATTTTTCCCCACTGCTCGTTTCCCATCTCTGCTGTTCAAGGTCTTTTTTTCTTCTTGTGGCCCTTCTTATGAGTTTCTCTTTCCTGTGTCTTATTTATACTTAAGTATTTCTGCCTTACCAAACATTGTGCTCATTACTTTATCTTCCTCCTCTGTTTTTTTCTCCACTCATTTGTTTTCTCTCATTTTTGTTCTCTTTCATATATCTTCCTCTTACATCTCTTTTTTTCCCCCTCTGTGTCATTCTTTTTAAAGCCTCTCCTTCTCTCTCTCCTTTCTGACATCTCACTTCTGTCCACTGCCTAACTCTACCTTCCTCTTGACATTTCTTCTCCAAGCTATTGCTTTGGTCACTGTCCTTTTCCTCCCTTATATTTACATATATTTTACTTTGATATTATGTATATATATGTATGCATGTATTTCCACTCCACATCTTTCACTCTCCAGCTGGAAACAAGAAATTACTCATGCTGATAGTCTGATCCTATTTCATCCCTTCCTTAGCACCTGAAATACACTGCTCCTGCCCATCCTCAAACATATGTATTGGGTAGACTGAAGAACTATGTGGAAAATGTTCTTAAATTCAGATGTGTACTTGAGAAAGCATCTTGCTCAGGCTGCACTGTGAACAGAGCAGATGTTGTGCTCCCACTGACATTATTAGAGGAGGACTTTAGGGCCCTTGAAGAAAGAACCTCAAGAACCTAATGACATTCTTTTTACGTTTCTCAATTTCAGGGGGGTTTTTGGTAAATAAAAAAACTTACATTTTAAGTGAGGGACTCTGCCATATCTTTGAGATATCCCTTGGATGCTGGACTGACCCAAAATAAGACATCCCAAAACATTTTTCTTTCTTCCCCCCCAGTTGTTTTGTTTTATGCATTTGTTAAGCCAACCTTGTGCAGCTGTTGGAAGAAGTAGCTGCACAAAAGTGGCTTAACAAATGCAAAAATTGGAGAAATGCTTTCTCCTCAGCAGAGCAAAGCTCTTCCTCTGGAAAGGGTTCTGTGTGGGGTGAGACTGGGATTTCAGCTTGTCAGCTTCCCTTTTTTCTGGAGCCAGAGGGAGAGGAGAGAGCTGTGACTGCAGGATCATATGCATTAGGTGGGAGATGGAAGAGTAGATGCATAACCCAAAAATGCTACATTAACCTCAGAGGGTAGGGGGAAAAGTTGTTTAATAATTTTTTCCCTTGACTGTCACTGACTACAAACATCACCATTGAGGATTAAGGGCAATTGTTAGATTTTGCTATTTAGATAAGAATCTTAGTTTTTAAAAATATAATTTATTCTTTAAACTACTTTTTTTGTGTTGTTCAAAGAGCTTACTACTAACTGGCTGGAATGAAAACAGCTCCATCCCACGGATTCCACCTCCGCTTTCTGGCAGCTTACCTGACTCATAAAGAGAGTGGGGGGTTTTATGTGCCACCTACAGCAGCTCAACATTTTCCTTTGTGGTGTGACTTAATCACCACCCTTGTCATATTATTTCATCGACCTTCTTGGAGTAGGAATCCTTTACCTTTCAAACCAGCCTTAAAACTTCCTATAAAAATAGGGCGATGGTTTTTTCCTGAATTTGGTGAAAGGGCATAGGTGGTCCAATGCAGCAAGGTTTTCTGTGTTATTTTTTAAAGATAACTTTTACCTGAGGACCAGAAGAGAGAGTTTTCATTTGCAGAGGATGTATCTGTGACACAAGATGTGTCGCCTGGAGAGTTGAAATCCATCAGCTGAAGGTAGAGGACCATCCCTCAAATAATCACTGCAGGTGGTGTGTGCTGAGGGGCAAACTGTGGGCTTTTGGCCACCATGGTCAAGGATGAGAGTGGACAAAATTTGTCAGAGGCAGTGCCTGTATTAGAGTCAGGAAAGACAAACATGCCCTTGGGCACATCAGATCTCTCCTTATAACCTGTTTGTGTAACCTCTGTGACTGTCTCTTGTAGGGAGAGAGATCATATGAAGTAGACTGATATTTGTCAAGCAGAAAATACTGCTGAGAGAAGACTGCAAGGTCAAAATGAAAACAATAAATAAATACATAAATAAATAAATAAAAACAGTAAATAAACACAAAGGTGGCAATGCAATAGGTAATGTGTACAGGAGGCAATGGAAGAAGGGGTAGGAGAACAGAACCACCCCAGGTTGTTGGGAGTTACAAAGAGGACATGAGTTATGCTAGAAAGCTGGGGCAGAATGCATTTGACATTTTTTCTAAAGAAAAAACATGACATAGGGGAAGGGCAGAAAGGAAGGTATTCTGGAGCTCAGCACTTAAAGATAGAACCAAGTGTGAAGAGAGGCCAGGGAAGGCATTTGGTAAGAGTCTCCTCATTTCTCTGTCACAAAGGCAGGTAGAATCAAGGAACAGCAAGGAAAGGGGAACATTGAAAGGACTGAAGTGAACCATTGGTAAATATCAAAGAAGGAAGTGTAGGGAAGGGAAGCTGCTTGCAGGTTAACAGAAAGGCAGAAGTCCTCTTTGGTCCTCTGGAGGACCTGGAAATTGACTGCATGACAAGTGGGGTTCTACAAGATGGGAGACAGAGAACATTCTGTCAGGAAGGAGCTGTCTGACCACACCTAATATAAATATAGGCTGTTTTCATTCTTGATGTGTTTGTCTTAAAATGCACTGCAGGTGCAGCAGCTCTGCCCTGAAGATATGGAGGCTGCAGCTGTCTGGACCTTCCATTTCCACCATCCTCCTTCTTGCATGCCAGAATTAACCCCATATTATCTCCTCTCCTGCACTGTGGGTCCTCAGCCCAGCCCCAGTCATCCTCCTTACCGACTGCAGCTGCCTGATAACTGGGACACAACTTAAGAAAAGGACTTGGCAGTCACCTGCAAAGATGTGCTTCTGCAAGCAGAGGCACTGATGAGCTCTGTGGAGGGAGTGTGCTGGGGAGGCACCAGCAGGGAGGGAGGAGAGCAAAGGGTGAGCACTTCATCTGAGGGAGAAACAGCTTGGGAGGCTGTTGGACTAAAGCAGTGGGGAAACTAAGGGCATGGAAAGCTCAGGAGGAAAGTGTATGTGGGAGGATGGAGCCAAGGATGGTTAAAAATAACAGTCTTGTACAGCTAGTATGGCACTCCACTGGCATTTTAAACCTGCTGTCTTTCTGAGTTTTGAAAAGTGAACTTTACATTTAATTGTTCTGATTGCTATTGACCATCCAGGACCACTGCCATTTTGTCCAGCAGGCCCCATTTTCTTCACTGCTGGTCCAGTGGTTGCAACCAGGTCTTCAGCATATTGCTCTTTGCATCCTTGCCTGATGTAAATATTGGTGTATCTCCAGTTATACCTTGATTTCTCTGGAAGGGAGATGGTGTTTTTTAGCTTGCATCAACACAGTGACTAGCACACAAAATTCATGCAATAATGATCTATCACAAATTAGAGGTAAATCAAAACACTATTCACAAGCAATTTGTACAGTGTGGAGTTCGGGCATGGGCTAACTTGACAGCCATTTCTTTTAAAGTTTCTGGAGAGCTGCCAGTTTTTCAGCCCTGTGGCTGTTCAAAGTGCTGTGGTAGTCTCTGTATGAATACCACATGTGAGACAAGACCAAGTGGCACAGATCTGCTGGGGCTTTGAACCTCCTGGCACTTGGAATCGATGTGAGGAAAAGAAGGAAGGAACAATAAATAAAAGAATAAAGGAAAGCGAAGTACAAAGTGAAGAACATCTGTGCATTCTGATAACAATTCTTCAGTAGCACAGCACCATAAAAAATGTTGCCTGGTTAATGTAGAGCAGTTACTTGCTATGCTGGAGCCATTTCCTAGAATTTTTATAATATCAAGTTTTGTCTTTGAAATATGGAAGGAATGGATTTCTTTGTCTTTCTCTGCTCCTCCCTTGCCTTTATCCTCCCAATTCCAAGTAAGGATGTAAGTGAGGTTCCCTTTCATCTCCAGTGTAAATTTATTCATGAACATTATAAAACTGTTGGTCAGTTCTTGTTTCAGAGTTTACTCTTACCTTCAATAACTCTTGTGTCTTTAGTGCTTGCCCCCATCTGTTTCTGGAGAAAAGCCAGCTTGTCTCTTCATGGGAAGCTTTGCCAGACCTGGCTGTCCCAGCCCTGCTTCTCTCCTTCCATCTAACAGACTCTCCATTTTCCTGTTTCCTACAGAAGATGACCTCTAATGCTCAGAGGACTCTCTGCCTGTGGTAATGTGATCTGGTGGCAGCAGCAGAAAAAAGTGTCAGTAGTCTTGGATCGTGTTCCCAATCCAGTTATTGAATGATCTGGGGAAGGACATTTATCTTTGTTTCCCTGCAGGCTCCAGTAATAGTCACACATCTCTGTTTTACAGTAAAATTGCTTTTACCATGCCAAATTAATTATTAATACACACATTACAGTATTTTCAGTGTCCTGTAGAAATGAAATCAGATGCTGTGTCACTTGCTGTCCTTTAGTTTGTGACATGGCATGCAATCCTTTTGGATATACCTGTCTGGTACCTGCTGTGTTTACAGTCTGTGTTCCCAGGCTTTATCACCATTATAAAGCAGCTTTCACATATCCCTGACTTTTTTTATTGCATGCTTTCTGCTATTTTTTCTGAAACCATTTTCAGGACTTGCTGAAATGTGAGTAATGTAGCTGGGAAGGGCTGATTGAAGTGAGAGACTCATTTAGAAGGAATGTTTGACATGATTGATTACAGCTGCACACATCATGCCCTTGCCTGACATTTCTCCCCATGTAGGGGGAGACTTGGTGGTGGTGAGGTCCAGGTCTGTAGAGCATGCATGCCTTAGACCCATATAGATACCTTGAAGGTTGTTAAAAGGTTTTGCTGGGTTTATTTTATCCATGGCATTGAGAATATGTGGTAACTACACAGGTAGATCACTACATGGTGATGTACCAATCACATCACTCATAAAACCCTTCATGACCTTAATCTTGTCTTCAGCCTAATATGGGCACGTAGCTTTCCACTTCAGTGTGGGTTTATGTCCAAATTATTGTTCTCAGTCAGTGTGGTTTGGCCAAAGTACACATTTTGGGGTACAATCCCAGCTTTTTGTTTCTTTTTGCTACCCCAGTTATCCATGGTGCTGGAACAGGGCTACAGGAGCCTGCCTAAGCCTGGGTGAGGGGTGTGTAGGAGGAGGAGGTGCTGCATGTGTCTGCATTGGTTCCCACATAACTCCTACCTTAACTCAGAACAGCTCTCACTGCTTGGTGAAGCTTCTCCCTCTGCCACCCACTCTCTCCCCACGGCCTGCAGGTGTTGGGCTGTAGCTTCTCTCCTATTTTTGGCTGAATGGCTGAATTAGCACATTTTTAATGGATGCCTATTTCAGCACTTATGAAAATAGTCTAGAATTTTGATAATTCTCCATTACTCCATAAAATGCATAAAAATAGTTTGCTTGAATGTGATAGCAGTTCTTTAGGCTTATTGTCATTACTAGTTTAGAGACCATGGTTCCACTGAAGAAGGAGATATTTAGATATAGCAGCCTTAGTGAGGTTTTGCTCTCCTCCTTTTCCAGAGAAATTGAAATTATGTGGATAAAGAGCAAGTGATTTTCATTTTTGATACAGCACAGAGCAAATTTTTTTTCAAATCTGCAGTTTTTATTTTCAATAGCATAGGGTGCTATGGAATAAGTAAAGCACTTTTCTTCCATTGGTATTACAGACCCCAGTCATCTCTGATTTTGGTTCTCACACCCATCTCCACTAGTTTGTACTTTGCAAACCACCAAAAAGATAAAGGAGAGGTTGTGATGCTTGTGAGCAGTGGAGCTGCTGTGAAGCCTTGCTCCTTCTGCCCAGCAGGATGGTCCCAGGTCAGTTGGGACAATCAGCTGTCCTTACATGGTGAGCAGGCTCTGACCTCTCCCTGCCTCCAGAGCAGTTTTGCTGAGTTAGTCTGAGGATGGGAGCTAAACCCTGCAGTTGGACACGGGGCTGCTGCTGACAGGCTGGCTCCCAGTGGGTCCAGTTGAGTTCAAGTGGGATATGAAGGGAAAATAAGGCTGTGGCTTGAGGAGAGGATTCATGGCAGAAGCAGAAAATCCTGATGATCCTAAAACTTGGGGAGGAAGCTCATGCTGTATTTTATGTGTGAGGTTTTGAGTTATTGATAAAACACCAGGAAGGAAGTGAGCCTGCTTGTGTTCTCTGTTGGGCTTCCTGAGGATGCTTGTGATAACGCAGAATCACTGAATGGTCCAAGTTGGAAGGGACCCACAAGGATCATCAAATCTAACTCCTACAGGTTTTTCTGAAACCCTGACCATCTGTGGGAAAGCTGACTGGAGTGTAATTGCAGCACATGCTGTACCAACTGGGTGTACCCCACACACATTTAACAGGTATGGGTCCATAGAAAACATCATTTTTCTTTTTGTATTTATTGGATACTTGCTCAAGCATTGAGATCAGAGCTATCCCAAAGCAAGTACAAAATGAGTACTCTTACAAAGAGCAGATAATAAAGCTTTTTAAAGTGCTCCTTCATTAACAGTAACAAAACCTTGATAAAATATGAGGTCGGATTTTTGTGAAGTAATGAGCCTTTTGAATTCCAGTGAAATCAATGTCAGCTGTTGATGTTAAACATCTCTAAACATTATACATGTGCTTTCAGACCTGTGTTAAATCCCCATTGACTTCAGACACTCTTCAAATCAGCATAAGAACTGCAGTATTTAGTCTCCCGACAGTCATTCTTCTTGCAACATTGTCTCTCTATTGCTCTAGTTGACTCATGGGTAAGATTTTATTTTCCTTAAAATTTCAATGTATCTTCTCTGCAGAGAGCTCTGATGTAGGGCCCTGCTCCTTACTTTGTAGGTAATAATACAAAATCTCTGACTGATACCCCTGCAGCCCTGAGAATTACTTGCAACTTGGGCAGAAGTAGCACAAGAAATTACAGCTGTTACTGTGATTAAACAGTAGAGAACTGTAGAGAACTCCCAAGCAATGGGTTAACACAAGCAAGATAAGAATCAGTCAAAGAGCTCAGTGCTCTGTTCTGCTTGTATTTGTTCTAAAGAAATCTGAAAATCTACGTGAGCATCATGGGTCTGTGTCAGGGACTGAGTTTGTAGCATTTCTTTCTTTGTCAGTGAGTAGAGGTCATCTTCAATTTTAACCTGTAGTCACAGCCCTCTGTTCACTACAAGACTGCATGTGTATATCCGATTTTGAAAGGTAGCCATTAAATGAAAACCTCACAGGAGCAGAGATACAAAGTGCAGCAGAGCATGTGGAACTGAGGATGGGGTCTTAGTGCTGTTACTGGATTACTTGGGAGGAAACCTAGGATCTCAAAACTGTCTTCTGTACCCCTCCACCATTGGAAGAAATCAGGCATTTCAGATTAGTTTACCTTATTCTAGGAAATTCTCCTCCTCCTTACTTCAAAGCAAATATTACCTCATCATCACATGCTAGACAACATACCAAGGGAAAAATTCTCCTCAGACCAAAATACAACTATCAGTTTTTGCACGAGGCAACATCACCAATGTCTCACAATGACTCATCATGCATCTGCTTTATACCTGAGGCAGAGCTTGCTACCAGATAATCACAAATATTGTTTGTTTTCCCAACTATGACTATATAATGACACCTGACAGATGAACAAGTTCTTGTATAATAGTAGATGGCCATGCATAATAAAAAGGAAGAGGATTTGCAGTTTGCAGAAATTCTCTTTTCCAATAACAGTCATTTGCTGACACATTGTAATTTGTAAGCTATATTTACCAGATCTCACAAGCATTTCAGAGCAGGTGAATCCATTAGAAAACCTTTTCCTTTTGGTGGAAACATTCCCTAATTTTTTACCCTTTGTGCTTCAAAGAAAATGAAACAAAATGCAGCAGCAAATTTCATTTGGTATTTCTTGGCATGCAGGAATAAATCCAGGTATTCTTTCTTTTATACAGTAGGAGAAAATGAGGAAAAGGGAAATAATTGGACAGCATGGAGAGAATATTCTTATTTAAGGGGCAGAATTATCAGCAGGTATCTGTTGGTTCTAGGAAGGATTAAAGTAGAACATCAGAAGATTAACAAATATCAGAATTTCAGATGTCCAAATGATGAGAGCTTGAGTTTTTTTCCTACAAATATTTAATTTGTCACCTCCTAAGAACAAAATGCTGATTCTACAAATGTAACTTTTATGGTTGAATAGGAAATTACAGAAAGGGCATGGGGATATACAGTGAATGCCCCAGAGCTCATCCCAGCAAGGACAGCCTTCAGAAAGAAAAAAAAAAGTTTAAAAAATCCAAGTGCTGTTTCCAGCTCTGCATGAGGAGAGGTCCAAAAGGGCAGCTCACAGCCCACCCACGGTTACCCATGCACACTGCTGGCAGCAGCTTGGCACTGCTCCTACAGACTCAGCAGCAAGGCCAAAAATGAACAAAAATCTTCCCTGCTTGTCTCTCTCCATTGATATATCAAGCCTGGGGAGAGGAGACATTATCAGATTCCACGTGGGATTTCTCATCAGGCTCTCCCATTTCAGATCTGAGAGACTGTGGTGATTTGTATCTTTGAATATGTTTTTCCGTTCACTTTCCCTTTAATGATGCTGAAGAAAGGAGTGTCAGCACAAAGGAAGATGTATCTGTCACTGGCACTGCTCTGGTTTTTGGCAGCACTCAGGCTGCTGCTTGGAACTGGCTGGAAAAATTACTGTGCTTGGTTTTGTTGTTGGTTTTCTGAGGAAGGAAAAAACTGCCAGCACTGATAACTGATTTAACTCGGAGCATACAAAGCCATAAAGAAAAAAACTTTCCCAGAGATTTTTCTCAAAGACCTGAAACTTTCCAAATGTGCTGCTTGAAAGTGCCTCCTCATGCATGGCCATGGCCTGCATCCCAGGGACCTCAGTGGCCTGGACCTGGAGGTGAGCATCATCTCTTCTTAGGAGTCCATGTGGGAATCTCAGGCTGCAGTATCCCATGGGAGATGTCAGTCAAGGGAACACAGCTCATAAAGTGTTCATAAATTTCTACCCCATTTCAGTCTCCAAATGTCACAGAATGGATGAGGTTGGAGGTGCCTCTGGCAAACATCTGGTCCTGTCCATGCTCAGAGCAGGAGCAGCCCCTGTGGGTTTCTCAGAGTCATCTCCAGTTAGAGACTGAGTATCTGCAAGGATGAAGATCCTGCAACCTCTCTGAGCAACCTGCACCCAATGCTTGGTCTACCTCGCAGTAGAGAAGTCAGTCATGCTGGCAATGCTTCCAAAATAAAAACCAATAATTATTAACCTCTTCAGGTTCTCTCTCCAACTCTCCCTCTCTTTTTTTTTTTCTTAAGGAAACAAAGATATGCAACTGTTTTTATAAAAAGAAACCGTTCTCTTGAAGGTCACTTTTTGTTTTCCTCAACAAACTTTCCACAAGGACACTTTGGGAATAATCCCACTAGTTGTGTACTTACACCAGAGCAGCACCTGCTGTGGGTTGCACTGCACTGTTGACAGAAGGATTGGTGATACTGTTGACCATTATTAACATTATTTATTCAGCACCTGGCAAATGCACTCAGGCTCTGCCTGCTAGGGACTGCCCAAATAAACCACAAAGAACACAACCTGTTTTCAAAGAAGGTGATATTTACCTGTTAAACAGTCAGCTGCAAAGAAATGGGTGGAGGGAAGCACAAGCTCTTGTGCTGATCTCTGAACTTCAGCATCGTTGCTTCCCCCATTGCAGCCATGCATGGGAGGGGAGTGAGATCTGGGCTGTGCTACCCAAGGGTGTTGGCTGATCTAATGGATGGAGATGTCCTGTGAAATCACTGTGGTGCCTGTTGGGCCCTCTATTCATTTTTTTAAAGCTGCAATAGAAGTGCACTTAAGAATTAATACTTACTTTAGAAGGACATACTTTTCAAAATGCTTAAGAAATATCCGTTTGCATTTTTCAGTTGTGGTGTTTTTCAGTCAGGAAATGAGCTCAAAAGAAAAATAAGCAAGTGCACAGTTATTTCTTCCTGTAGAAAAATCATTTTCCATTGAAAAGGCATATTTTCAAGTCTACAAACTGGGGATTTCTTTTCCCAAGACTGTTTCCCAAATAGATAAGGAAAGGAAGAAAACTTGTGATTTCACCAGAGGAAGAAAATGTTGCGTTTAAGTGGGCAGGTGTCAGTTTTGAAAGGTGTCCAGAACTTTTGGGGCAGTCCAGCACTTGCCATTCCAAATGCCACCACTGGGAAGAATGCCAGAAAAAATTAAGGACATGAGGTGGCAGAGTCAGAAACTTGTCACATGAAAATCACATCTTTGGAGAAGGAACTGCTGTTCTGGAGCAGAAACCCAGCTCTCAGGACACTAGTGCTGACTTTGGCTTCCAGACAGGAGGGTGTTTGGGAGGGCTGTGGTGGAGATGTCTCTCCACTGCATCCCAAGCAATGCCAGCCTGCCCCTGCAGCTGGGCACAACCCTGCCTGGGATTAGCCCAGCTGGGCACAGCCCTGCCTGCAGTGCCCAGTGCTGGTCCTTGCCCAGGGGCTGCCAGAGCTCAGCCCAGCCCTGGTGCTCGCTGCAGTGGGAGGCAGCCCCACACAGGCTGCTTTGGAGCCAGGGAGGGGATTTGGAAGCAGGAGCTGGTGCCCACGGAGGTGTGGGTGGGCACATCAATCCAGCCTCAGGATCAAAGGTGTCTCCTCCCACAGGGAGCAGCTGGGAACTTGGTCTGGGCTTGTTTGCAGCAGTGCTGCTGCATCTGGCTGTGATGCAGATGGAGAAATCAGACATCCACTCACTCTCTCCCAAGGAGGAGAGGCAGGGCTGAGCATGCAGCCATTGCCTTGGCACAGGCACTGTTTAGGTCCTTCTCTGATACTCAGAGTGTGCAGACCATATGTTACATCCCAGCTTTCTCTCTTCTGTTTACTTCTATCCATTTCCCATGTGCCAGCAGCCCTGAAGCTCTTTTTTCTCTACCAGTCTCTCTTGGCCAGCAGACTGTAATTCCTAGGCCATCTTCAAAGGAGATGCACAGCAATAAAACCCAAGCCCTGGGGTGATGCTGTAAGCTCATCCTGCAGCAAAACCTGGAGGAGCCTTGTCTTTCAAGGGAGCATTTGAAGTGTTCTCTGAAACACAAAACCATTTACCTGGTTGCAACACAGTTATTATTGCCCTTGGCCCATGAAGTAAAGCACATGTAAATTTGTAGTGTAGGGGAGGCACACAGTTTTTTCATGGGTTTACATACTGGGTTTTTGTTACTGCACTTTGGATGAGAGCAGTCAGCTGCAGGTCATGGCTTTGCACGTTGTGACCTAATGAAGAAAAACTCAGAGGGAGGATCAGGCATCTTGGTGTAACTGTGCAGCAAAGGCTTGCTCTCTTGAAAGCAAAAAGCATCAAATAACAGGAAATAATTTTTTCCATCAACATGTACCCTGAAAGCACTTTGCTTTTTGATTCCTATCCACATTTCTGTTTCTCAGCCAGGTGATTCCTGCCACCTCCTCTAAGCTTTTCTACTCTCTGGTATTTTGGATAGCAAACATGAATACTGATATATTCCTGTAGCTCAGCCAGAATAGCTTAAAACTATTATTTTTTATATTTCACTGGAAAACATGGTGTCAAACAATAGCCACAGAAATGCAAGCATCTTCAAAGTAAACTTCTATCTTCATGCAAATAAAAAGGGTTTATTGGAGATTGTAAACCACGTAAAATAATTTTGACCAGTCTCATGTGCCTGCAGTGATACCTTGCAACAGTCTTGGGCCCATTCCAGCAGGATTTGATTTAATCCATGCTGCAGTTAGTGTTTTCTTTGGAACTGCAGTGTTCTCAGAAAGATGTTCAGGCTCCATCTCATATTTACTGAGCAGATGCCAATTAGGCTTGCGTTCAGAGATGTTGACAAGGCCAGCGTTGTAGGTATTTAAACAGAGAACAACAAAAAGCCATACAAAATCCAGAGAAATTCTTGCTGGCAGTTCAAAAATGCTCTTTCAGGGTCATGGGGTGTTCATCTCAGATTCTGAGCTGTTACTTGCCTCCAACTCAGACTCTGTCATCTTACAGTACAATTATTCTGTAGAAGGTCAAAAAATAATTAGAATTTTTTTATTTTCTCTCCAAGCATCTCCAAGACACAACAAAAGAGCTCTCAGGATGCCAGAGCCAGCGAAGTCAACCTCAGCCCCCAAAAAGGGCTCCAAGAAGGCCGTCACAAAGACGCAGAAGAAGGGCGACAAGAAGCGCCACAAAAGCAGGAAGGAGAGCTACTCCATCTACGTGTACAAGGTGCTGAAGCAGGTGCACCCTGACACGGGCATCTCGTCCAAGGCCATGGGCATCATGAACTCCTTCGTCAACGACATCTTTGAGCGCATTGCCGGCGAGGCCTCGCGCCTGGCGCACTACAACAAGCGCTCCACCATCACCTCGCGGGAGATCCAGACGGCCGTGCGCCTGCTGCTGCCCGGCGAGCTGGCCAAGCACGCCGTGTCCGAGGGCACCAAGGCTGTCACCAAGTACACCAGCTCCAAATAGCTGTGTGTGTGTCCCCTCTGCAGCAGCACCATCGAGCGCAGGGCCCTCCACGCCAGCACAGGCAGGCAGCCATGGTGAATGGTCACAGCTATTGTCCACAGCAATCTGCAACTGGGGATGGGCACGGGAAGCTGCCCAGAGGAGGAGGAGACAGTGATCTGGATATCAGCTGGTTTCCATCATCTGCTCAGGATGTGGGAAGGACCTGCCGAGGCTGGCAGTGGAGGCCCCTGCTTTTACATCTCATTCAAAGAACTGACCAGCCATGGTTTATCCAGTCTCCTCTGTGCTTGGCAAACATTCCTGTTTGGCACTGGGAGGGGGGACTGGCAGCAGCAACACAGAGACACCCTCACTGAAGTCTTCCTGTTTGACTGCTTTCTCACAGTCATCTGATATGGGTACTGAGGAGTCAGCATCCTCTCCCTCAGAGCCTGAATCCCTCCTGGTGTGCAGTGCCTCAGCCCACCCCGTGCTGGCAGAAGTGGCATCAGCAGCTCCCAGGCACATATTGATTCAACAGCTATCTGTGCTTGACAGCCTGTTTTAAAGAGCAAGCCTGGCAGGCAGGCAGATGCCCACGTTGATAGCAAGCACTAATCCTCCTCCTTGCTCCTGATGGATGAGCCATGGAGCAGGATGAGGGTGCTGGAGCTGCCCACTGCCTCCCACCTTGTGCTGAGGTGGAGGGATGGACAAGGTGGGATGTTGGGAGTGGGCCTCTGTCTTTCCTGGCTGCTGCTTTGCCTGCCTTAGGACTTGCTTTGGCATGCAAGACATTGCTAATTCTGCTGCTTTTCAGAGACTTTTCCTGCCTTGATGCTGCCTGGGTGTTCCCTTCCACCATAAGTGTGGGCAAGATGGGGTGGTGCCCGTGGGGGTCCCCTCTCCTGTGAGCAATAGGGTGATGCAGGACAAACAGCACAGATGTTGTGGGCAGGGACTGAGGATTTGGGAAGCATCTGGTGTGGGGGCACAGGTGGTCAGTGCATTTTGAGGGATGGGAGGAAGCTGGATCCCCTCAGAGATCACTGCAGGCAGCTCGCCTGGCCCTGCCCTCCCTAATTCATTCAGCAGTTAGAAAGCAAAAGCAAAATTGGAGGCTGGGTGGATATATAGGGACACTTACCTGCATCCCAGATATTTAAAAGATTAAATAGTTTTAAGCTATTTCAGATAGTCCCCTTATCTTTTCAAAGTCCACAGTAAGGTGAGCAATAATAAATTCATGATAAAGCCATAGAGGTTAATGGAGGAATGTCTTGGTTACAGGTTTATCTTGCCCAGACTGCTGGATAGCAGAAGGGCCTGTGTAGAACTGGTGTGAAGTTGAAGCTTCCTACTCAAACCACAAAATTAGCCAACATTAAAAAAAATCAAAGCCTCTGGTAGGCAGTAACATTCAAACAAAAAATATTCATGTCTAAAATAACAACAGCTTTCTGCACTTACTCTGTAAATAAAAGGAGCAGTAAGGAGATAGGATCCAGAACTAAGTTCAGATTCTCCCTAGGCTTCAGGACCTTGCTTTTAATTAAAAGGTAAATTCATATCCCAAAATAGCAGCCATGCAGTACATTTCTATCTTTCCCCTGCCTTTATCTCTATCCTGTTTCTTTACACTTTGAGAGTGATTGGGACCTTTGGCAAATTTATGTTGCTTTTGGAGCTGTAGGGCTCTGCAGCTCCAGAAGATTCTCATTGCAGTCATTTTTCCAGCTGGTCTGAGGCATAGCCCTGCTCAGAAGGCTGGGAGCAGCCTGGGGTCTCTGTGCAAGAGTGAAGGTCAGTTTGTTTGTGGGCTGCTCACACAGCCCTGCTTTGGGTGTCAGCACCCCACACTTGGGAGGGGGCCAGGGCCACATCTCCCAGGATCACCTCCCACACTCTGCTCAGTGCTAACACACAGCTGTGTCTCATAGCCTGGTGCTGACAGCTCTCAGAAAGAACCAAACCCATCTCCCTGGGTGCCAGCACCCACAAGGAGCAGCTGCCAGCAACAGCCCCTGTATTCAGTGTCAGTGGCATTGGTAACCTGGGCCTCTTGGCCAGGACACTGTGCAGGTACAGCTCAGTACTCCCTTTTGTTTCCAATCAGTCAGAATCAGATACCAAAGATGAACATGTACCTGCAGTGGGCCCAGAGCCACCATCCTTGACACCTGTGCCACAAGAATCCAGGCAGTGGATGATGCACCAGGAGCACTGTTGGGAGTGAAGGGCTGGGTGGCATTGCTGGAGCTTTCTTCTTCTGTCCCTGTGAGCTGCAGGTCAGAATTCATCCCTGTGAGGAGCTCTCTTGAAGGCAGGAATTCAGAGTGGAATGAGCCCTCTCCAGTCCAAGCAGTGTGTTTGAGCCAGGACACATCTCCCAGGATCACCTGGCACAGCCTCTAAACTCTCACTTTTCTGAGCAGAGTCCCACTTGAGTCTCCACAGACTGCAAGAAATCAAGAAAATAAAATTAGGGTTTGGCCCTGCAGGGTCTCCTGGGCAGCTCAGGAGCCAGGAATGAGGCTGGGCACTCAGATGGGAGCTGCTCACTCCATACTCAGAGTACTGGTTCCATTTTCTTCTGCCACTGTTGTCATTCTCCATTTTTGGAGATTGTTTCAGAGAGGAGAACCAGTGATTTAAATATACAAAATACTTGAAGGCTTAAAGAAAACTTTTATATTGTCTAAAGCCAAATGACTGAGGCTGATCATGTCCATGCATTTATAGTTTAGGTTGTCCTTTTATGCATCATTTGCTCTTCACTGTCCATTTGTATTTTTTTTCACTCACTCCTGACAATGTGAAGCACAGGATTGAAGAACTGATCCATATTAAAACAAACCTTTTTTTTTCTTTCCTTTCTTTCAAGCTTTGTTTTAACCCTGTTCTGGTGGCTGCTCTGTTCTGTCATACATTTGTGCCAGCAAAGGGAAGGGATGATCCAGGAAGGGCAAGGCTGGTATAAGCTAGGACTGACACAGAAAGCATCTGGGAAGTTAATGTACAGGACACCATCCACACATCCAAATGGGAATTAGTTTGCATGTGATAAGCTTGGGCTAAGCCTTAATATTAGAGGCAACAGAAGGTGGTCTGAAAGTTCAAGGATTGATTGTCCTGTAAGCAGTCTGAGGTGTGACATATTTCACAGTTTCCTGGTAAGGAGATTTGCTGCAGAAGATGGATTCTGCACTACAGGATCAGTGCTTTTAAAGAATACATATTTCCAGCTCTGGAATTGAGAAAATGTTTTAAAAGTGAAGATAATATACCAAGCCCCACTATCCCTACCTGATCCCCTCTGCAGTCCCAAAAGCATCTCTGGGCCATGCCTGTGTTTTGCCAACTAAAGTAAATCAACTACAGATTGAAAGTTGGAAAGGAAGATGATAAAGGTAATACAGCCTTGATACTAACCTCATATTAACCCCAAGGATATCACTGTAAGTGTTATTTGTTATTTGTTTTCATGTACAATTTAAAAGAGAAAACAAGCTGCTATAGATCTTCTGATTGTCCACCCTGCTTCCCCAGAAGGGCCTAAAGTCCATCTGCCTTTCACAGCAGAGTTCAGCCTGTAGAGGAGCGGAGTGTGGAGGCTTGCTCCTGCTCAGGACTGACAGGTTTTTAGTGAAGCTTGGGGAAAATGAGCAAAAACCATTGTGGAGGATGAGTGCCTGTCCTGGGCACAGCTGTGTGCCCCACAGGGACACTGAAGAGTCCTGCCCAGTGGAGCTGTGTGGCCTGTGCACCCTTACTCTGGTGAGAGGCAGCCCCAAGTCCTGCCACCCCTGGAGCAGAGTTTGGCATGGCCTCTGCATAGCCCTGAGCTTCTGTTCCATCACAGCATGTCCTGAGGGTTTACATCCAGACCAAACTGTTTGCAGGCAAAGGAAGAATGGGAACTGAATAATAAAAATCACTTAGTGACAGAATTTGAGGGTTTCCTGGGACCACCACCTGGGGAGCAATCTTTCATGCTTACTCCATGCATGGTATCTCTTGGGCTTATGTACACAGAGTTTTTCTGACAGTAAGTGTTACATCAAGTATGATCCATGTTAAATTGCTGCTGGGTTATGACTTTAGTGCAAATTACCTGCTTTCTGTTAAGTGTCTAAATAAAATGTAACTTCCATTCTGTTGGAAGTCAATGGTACCCAGCTGTTGGGGTGTCTTTGCTTCTGCCTTATCACTAGTGTTCCCCAAGCCCTGCATTTCTCCCTCTCCATGATATTTCCTCCAGGCCTGGGGTGACAGCAGCGACCCTTCCAGCAGAGATGGAGCACAGCTGATCTGACAGAGGGTCAGTCAAAAACCAGAGGAGTCCCTCGCTGAAGGGATATCACAGGCTGCCACTGGAGTCCTCATGGGCTGTCACTCAACCCAAACATGAGTGCAACATCAACATCTGTTTTGCTCAAGCTCTTCCAATGATCTTGTCCCAGGCAGAGCTGAGCCTGCCATCTGTCCTTGCCACACTCCTGCTTGGGGTGTTTCTGCCTAGCACCCATCATCTACCCCCAAGCAGGAACAGTTTGGACTGAACAATGTGAGATCCTGTGGCTGAAGAAGTGTTTCATGCACATTCAGAATTTCTGTTAGCTGAATTAACAATTGCTAGCACTAGAAACATCTTTTCTTGGACTCTGAGAATTTTATAGGCAACAGCCATGGGATAAGATGTAGCATCTGAAAACCCCAGAAAGAAAAAGATCTTCCCTTTAAGGAATGGTTGGTAAATACACTCCAGTGAAACACTTACCTGCTGGACATCAGTATCATAATGCATTCCCTGGAGTGGGAAATGCAGGGGCCATGCTGGACACTGACTGCTGGAGAAACAAGACTTCAGACATGGCATATAACAGCAATCAGAGCTAAAAGTGTTTCTAGTGTCTCTAAAGAAACACAGGCTTAACATAATTGGGAAAATCAGCATTTAGAAAAAAATTCCCAGCCTATAACTAGCTCATCTGAAATATTTATTTCCAAGGAAATAAATTTTGCTACCTGTACTGATTTCCATTTTCATACTCCTTTCCAGAGACACACCCGCAGTGCAATTTCAGAACAGAGCTGACACCAAGGTATCACAAAGACCCAAACCAGGTTATAAAAGGTAGAGCATAATTCTATGGTCGTGCTTCTCCAGGATGTTGGGAGATAACTTTTTTTTAAATTATCCAGTTATTATCTAATAATTACTGACTGGTTATTCAAAGACCATTAGTGGACTCAGGTGCCAGAATAATGTTGGCAGAACCAAGTGGAAGAACTCAGGAACATCAAAATAAATTATGAGAGGATGAGGTTTGAATTTAGAGGAGCAACCCTTCCTGCAATTAGTCCATCTGTAGAGCCTTTGCCAATGGCTGCTGAAGATGCTAGAACTGGCTCAAGGACAAACTACTGGTAGAAAAAGTCTTTACGTCTTGCTAAACACATAAACTGTGCTGAAAACTATTATAGGCTGAGAGAATATAGAAAAGAAGTGACTGGATTACATGAAAGATGTAAGAGATGTTTTGTTTCTAAAATAGTTAGGGTTAATAAACACAGATGTTGTGAGAATAAGGAATGGACCTTCTGCTTTCTCATATAATGGAAAGCTGTTCTCAAAAGCATTTCTCGTTTTCTCCCTTGAAGCAGTTGATTAAAAAAAAAAAGAAGAAGAAGAAATACACCATTTCCTGCCTTTTAGTGTCTGTAATGCTAATTCCATCCCCTGGCAATAAAAAAAAAAAAAAAAACAACCCAAAACTCTTACAGAAATTAATTCAGAAGAAGATTGAAAATTCTTACAGATTTAACTGTCTTCTAATAAAAGAAGAATATTCCAATAGTAATAGAAATGGGAAGGTTGGTAGGAATGAGGGAATGAGAAAGGAATGGCAATGGGTGGGTTGGTGTAAGGCACCAGAAGGGACCAAAGGCAGGAGACTGTCAGTGATTGCTGCAGGATTGACAGATGCTGGTGAAAGCTCTCTGAGGAGCTTACCAAGGTGCCAGCACACACAGTGTGCTGCTGTTTGGATACAGGAAATAAAGGACAGGGAGTGAATCCCTGGTAAATCCCGGGGCTGGAGCAGGATGGACGGTGTAGCTGCTACCAGAAAAGGTACAAAAGGCACATCCAGAGGCAGCACATGTCACCAGTTCAAGAGCAACACAGGAATGTGATGCAGACATGAGGGCATCATCCCTCATGCTCAGAGCAATTGCAAAGTTGGGCTCACATATCCTGTGTGCTGGTCAGAGAGCTTGGATACATCTCATGAGGGTGCTGCTGCTGTAAAATAGCCTTGACTGCCAATGAGGACACAAAGTCACCCTCCTGTAGGGATTTGTGTTCAGTTTGCTGCACTGTGGCTGCTCATCAATCTTTTGGGTACATCCAGCCTTGGGGCAGGAAAACTTTCCCATCTTCTGGGCACCGCTCCCATTTATGGGCCACTAAACCTTCTCCTAATCAGGTGTGGAAAGGATTCTTTATACAATGTACAGCCCTATTTGCCAAGACTCAGAAAAATGTCCAGCACAACTTTTCAAACAAACCAGGAGATGTTTCTGACCTAATCTGCCATATGGCTCAACACATTCTGGTGAATACAATGCCTGCCTCTGAAAAACTCACTCTGATGGGAGAGCTATGATATGAGCTACGAGGGCAGCTGATCCAAGCACCCAGTGTCCAAACTTTGCCTGACACTGCCTGGGAGTAAAAAACAAAAAAGGAGGGAACATAAGTGCACCACACTGAATTTCACTAAAGTGAAGGAAATGTGAGGGTATTGAATTTTTTTTTTTTTTTGGTAGCCTTTTGGTTTGTTTGAAGTGCCATAGTATTCAAGGGGTTCAAGGAACCCTGGTCTTGCAGGCACAGATGGAAACAGGCTATTGAAGTGCTCCATCCCAATAAAACCTGCCCTTGCACAAAGCTTTCTGAGGCATGACTAAGTTATAGCAAAGTGGGAGGCCTGCAACAGTGAGGGCTGCCTGAGCATGTTGAGAGGAAGATGGTTGCTTTGTTGGGAGGTTGCTTTTTTGGGATGAACATGTATCTCACAACTCATTTCTCCTGTCATCAAGGTAATAAAAAGTCACATCTGAGTACTGACTTCAGAGATGCAGGATCCTCCCATCTCTTCCACAAACACCCTGCAAATGCTGCATCCACTGTACTCACACCAAATCCACGCTGCTCCCATGCTGACTTGCACTCTGGCCCTGAGTTAAAGCCAAGCAACTGCAGCCTGAAGTGGAAAATCCACAGTAGAGTGTGGTGGTGTTCACGGGGGTCCCAGGATGAGGGAAGAGATGAGAATCTTGACTCCATGTTTCAGAAGGCTGATTTATTATTTTTTTAAAAGAAAATTATATATTAAAAGTTACTAAATGAATGGAAGAAAGGATTTCATCAGAAGGCAGGAAAGGAAAAGGAAAAGGAAAAGGAAAAGGAAAAGGAAAAGGAAAAGGAAAAGGAAAAGGAAAAGGAAAAGGAAAAGGAAAAGGAATGATAACAAAAGCTCGTGACTCTCAGAGAGCCTGAGCCAGCTGACTGTGATTGGCCATTAATTAGAAACAACCAACCTGGACCAACCAAAGATGCACCTGTTGCATTCCACAGCAGCAGATAATTATTGTTTTTCTTTTCCTCTGAGGCTTCTCAGGAGAAAAATCCTGGCAAAGGGATTTTTCAGAAAATATCATGGCGACAGTAGAGTGAAAGAATAAGATCAGAATTCATCCCCCAGTGCCTCTTGCAGCTCGTTTTGTAGTGAAAGGCCCGAGACACCTCACGCTGCAGCTGACCTTGGCTAACAAAGGCTGTCCCAGTGGGGTGTGCCAGCAGTCACTGGGCACTGGGCAGGAGCCAGCCCAAGCTCCTTTGGCACGGATGGTTCAGCACAAAGGAGCCTTTCCACCCCTGCAGCAGCACCCCGTGCCTCTGCACATCACACCTCTCCCCAGGCTTTAAATACAAGGGACAAAAGTTTTTGCAAACCCCTGAGTCTGTCCATTCCCTGAACCCACACCTGAAATGCTCTTTGTGGCATTTAAGTGTCTTCAGATGGAAAAGAGAGAGCTCAGGATTGCATGCACCATCTCTCTCGGAGGCAGTTTGGCCGATGGATCCTCCTTCTGTGAAAAACACCAATCACTTGTTTTTATAATTTTAAAAGTTTAATAGTAATAAAATGGTTATAAAAACAGTAATGCAATTAGAGTAATAATAATTTGGACAATTTGAATTAGGACAATATGAGACAATAGAGACAAAGAGTTATGGATGTCTGGGTATCTTTTTCTGGGCAGCACGAGCCTGGAAAAGGACACACGTTAACAGAGGATTAACCCTTAAAAACAATAGCCTGTTGCATATTCATATACTTCCTACATGATGCATAAATTCCATTCAAATACAGGATTCTTCTCATCATCGTTCATTTCTCCTGATAAGAGAGCAATAAATTCTCTTTCTCTGAAAGATTCAGGTGTCCTGTGGCTGCTATCTTGCTGCAAGTCCTTTCTTTAAAAAAAGTATCCTGCATAGCATAGTTTCTATTTTAACATTTTTTTATAACCTAAAACTTTATTTAACACAGTACTTAAGAGAATTAATACAGCATTACTTTCTAACACAATACATATAATATTCATTTTAATATTTGTGAAAAGCCAATCATAAAATACACATTTTTCACACTGCCATACCTGGGGGCTGCAGGGCAGGGCATGACACTGAGCCCCCTGAGCTGCACAGAGCTGGGGCCAGCAGCTGCAGAGCCATGCAGAGCCATGCAGGGGCTGAGCAGGGGCCTCCCTGCCCAAGGGAGGGCAGCCCAGCAACCAAAAGCTCTGCAAGGTTTTAAAGGGATTAGACGCGCATAGATGGCAAGAGGGATTTTCATAACAAAGGATTAAATAGATGCGAGTTTGCAAGCAGCAGTAGCTCTCTGCTTTATAGGAAAGTTACACTAGATACAAAGAAACCGCAGGAAGAAATCTTATCCACCCTGCAGCTGCTGCTGTGGGGCTTGCAGCATCCTCAGAAACAGCCCAGACCTGCTGGTCCAGGCAAGGAGCCTTCCCTAGGTGAAGGCAGAACAGAAGCTCATGCCCTAGCTGCCCTTTTCATGTAAATGAATAGTCAGG